CTATGGAGCTTATTCTAAGGGCAATGGGAATGGTCTTAAGCAGGTAGATGACAGGAGTAAAAACAGAGAGGCAATAACAAAAAACTGACGCGAAGGAATGAGACTGTTTCATTTGATTTTTACCTCTGGCAAATCTCTAGATGCAGCTTTTCCTCTTACTGGATAGTCTAAGGCAGTTTTGTTTTGTTTTTTTAAAATCAAGGGTAGCTCCCCCGGATCTCCTATAATAGATCAGCCAAGGTGTTTGCTCAAAATGCAGAACCCCACTGCAGACTTATTGAATCAGAATCTTTGGGTATGAAAAACAGGAACCTGCTTTTTAAAGCAGCACTCAGAGTGATTCTAATGTTCTCTAAAATGGTGTATACCCAGCAGGTATACCATAGATGGGACAGAGAAGTGTCACAGTGAAGCAGGGTATGTTTAGGGTAGGCTAGCATCCCACAGATGGGAAAACCCAGGTGGGCACAGACAGACGGAGACTTCAGGCAGCGCCTGAATGGGAGCGGGGCATCTCTCTTCAGTGAGCATGGGAAGGAGCATGTCCATTGGACATATCCTCAAAATGCAATTTCTAGAATACTCATCTAAATTACTTTGCTAGGGCTGTCATAATAAAGTGCCACAAGGCCGGGCAACTTAAATAACAGAAATTTAGTTTCTTACAACTCAGAAGTACACCAGTTCAAGACCAAGTGGTCCGCAGGAATGGCTTCTCCTGAGGACTCTCTCCTTGGTTTGTAAATGTCCGTCTTCTCCCTGTATCCTCGCATGGTCTTCTCTCTGTGTGTGCATGTGTCTGTGTCCTAATCTCTTTTTCTTACACAGACACCACTCACTTTGGATTAGGGCTCACCCTAATCACCTCAATTTAACCAAATTAATTCTTTAAAGGCCCTATCTCCAAATACAGTCATGTGCTGAGGTACAGGGGGTTAAAATTCCTACATATGAATTTGAGGGAGACACGATTCAGCTCATAACACTGTCTTTAACTTTCTTTCATTTCATTTGAACTTTAGACTCCCCACATAAGGACAATTTTCCTCCATCCCTTTTGAGTCTGGGTTTCATTGTGAGGTAAACCAGTAGTATCTTCTCATCTAAGTTGGGGTATAATCATCTATTCCTCATCTTCATATATTTCACTTAAAAATGTAATTGCTGGCCAAAATAATGCACTTATCTAACAGAAAAATAATACTCAGCTCAAGCAAATTAGACGTTCAGTAGTACCTCTTATAGAATGTAAGCATTTAGAAATTTGACTTTTAATTAACAAGAATATTGTTTAAATGAAAAACATTAACCATTCAAAAATGAGAATATGTGGTAGAGATACGCTATTCAGACGCAAAGTTGTTCTCAACAATATGAGAGGGAAATATGATTATGTCATTTTTCAATGAATCAATGGAATATAAAACACTGTTTTCTAACTAAAAATAAAGTTCTAATGAATAATTGACAAGATTTTGAAATTTAGCCAGTTCCCCATAAAACAAATTAGTCTCTATTTTTTGACTCGAAAAGTAGTGACAAAAACCTTTCCACCCATCCAATTGAATTTTGTTTTAAAGACTTTTTTTTAATCTTAAAATAATTTGTTTAAACAGCTGTTTTAGATCTAAATGCAGAATGTGGGAGTATGTAGTGGCCCTCCCCAATTGCCACACATAATCATTCATATATCAGCTCCCAGAGCACGTCTCCAGCATCCAGAAACAAGATGGTGAGAAGGGAATGATGTCAGACACAAACCAAGTATCAGAGCCCAGAGTTTTTCTGACAAATTCCTTCCCTATTTTTCTCTTTCTATATGGCATCTAAATAACAGGCATCACTTGGATGAGTCCCATGAAAGACAACAAGATCCAAAAGTTTGCATGGGAATTAGTATGGTTGGATTCTTTGGAACTGGGTCCTCTAATCCAATGGTTCTCAAAGTGTGGTCTGTGGACCAGCAACATCAGCATCATCTGGGAACTTATTAAAAATGCAGATTCTCAGGCCCCATCTCAGACCTTCTGAAATAGAAACTCTAAGAGTGGAGAAGGCAACAATCTGTGTTTCAACAAGCCCTCAAGTGGGTTTTGATTCCTGTTCAAGTTTCAGAACCACTGGTCTAGTCCAAAATCAGCGCCCTGGGGTTCCTTGAAAGTGCATCTGCATTGGGTTGGGGACAGGGGAGGAAGCGGGGGAAGACGTAGAGAGGGAAGATGAAAGCAAGATATGGATCCAGGGAGGAAACCAATCTGGCCACATTT